TTTGTTTTGTAAGAAAAGTATAAGGGGGTTTAGTAATTTCCACTTGAAAAGGCTTGGTTATTAAGTGGCTCCTTGTAGCTCACCTCCCTTGATAGTGCAACTTGTATACTTAGACCTCCAAGTACTTAGTATTACACCAAAAAGAAAAACTCTTTGTGAAAATCTTTATCACTCACTTTGCAAAATTCTTTAAAGATTTGTGAAAACCTTTTATCTTGCAAAAATGAGTGATCATTCCCATGAGAGTAGTGCCCCTAATGATCATGGTCTTTTTTGTGGGGCATTGGGAAGCTATGTGTCCCCTCCCTAAGCATTTAAAACACTTAATAGAACTAGTCCTAGTATCATTGGAAGGTTTTTCTTTTTGTTTTTCTTTTAGTGGCCTTTCTTTTGAATAGGAGGGTGTACCCTCCTTCTTGAAGTCCTTCTTAGGGTATGAGGTAGATTCCTTCCTAAGGGTAGGCTTTCTCCTAAGTTGTTGTTCTACTCTCACACAAAGTTGAACTAACTCATTAAGGTCTCTATAGGGTAGTAGTTCAACTTTATCCCTAATCTGTAGGTTTAGGCCACTATGAAACCTAGCAATGGTGGTTCTCTCTTCTTCCCTAATTCCAGCCCTTAGCATAAGCAACTCCATTTGTTGCCTATATTCCTCAACACTAAGGTTTCTTTGTTGGAGTCTTTGGAGCTTGTCCATCAACTCCCTCTCAAAATATGGAGGAATGTGCCTTTTCCTTAAGGCAATCCTAAGTTCATTCCAATATTTAATGGAGGGCTCTCTCATAATTAATCTCCAACACTGTCCTCAAGTGCTCTCCATGCTCCTTCGGGGTCCTCGAATAGATTAAGATATCATCAATAAACACCACTACGAATTTATCCAGGAACGGCCGGAAGATCTTGTTCATGTAGTCCATGAACACTGCGGGGGCGTTGGTCACACCGAACGGCATCACAATATATTTATAGTGACCATACCTAGTCCTGAAAGCATTCTTCGGTATGTCACCCTCCTTCACCCTAATCTGATGATATCCTGACCTCAAGTCAATTTTAGAAAACACTGACGCGCCCCTCAGTTGATCCATTAAGTCATCTATCCGCGGAAGTGGATATTTGTTCTTAATGGTCAATTTGTTCAGCTGCCGATAATCAACACACAGTCGACTACCCCCATCCTTCTTCTTTACCAACAACACAGGAGCACCCCACGGCGAAACACTCGGCCGCACCAACTGCTTTTCCAACAAGTCCTCCAATTGACCCTTCAGCTCAACCAGCTCAGCAGGAGCCATCCTATAGGGAGCTACTGACACTGGTCCCGCACCTAGAACCAAGTCAATACTGAACTCCATCTCCCTAACAGGAGGCAACCCAGACACCTCATCGGGGAACACCTCGGCATACTCCCTCACCACATCGATATCAGCTAAGACCCTCTCGGTCTCCACACTCATAACAGCAAGCAGAAGATAGCACTCTGCTCCATCTCTCAATAATGACTCAGCCCGGCCAGCTGAGATCAACAGCTCACTCTCTTCTTGAGGAAAGATCAACCGCCTATTGGCACAATCTATTAGAATGCGATTGGTAGACAACCAATCCATTCCCAAGATTATGTTAATATCCACCAAAGGTAAACAAATCAGGTTTACCTTATACTCCTTCTCATTCACCACAACCGGGCAACCCACACACAATTTAGAAGCAATCACAGAAGTAGAAGCGAGCGTAGACACTAATAGTCTCAACCCCAAATCACACACAGGTACACCCAACACAGCAGCACATGCATATGATATAAAGGAATGGGAAGCACCAGAGTCAAAGAGAATCATCACATCCTTACCAGTAGCTTTGCCCTTCCCCTTCACAAGATCAGAAGAAGTCGAAGCCTCAGAACCTGTCAAGGCATATACTCTACCAGCAGTAGTGGGTCTGTCACCCCTCTGAGCATCAGCTCTCTGTGCGTTACTCCTCTGAGTATCAGCTCTCTACGCATCACCCCTCGGAGTACTCCTCTCGGGTCTGCCCCTAGTAGGGCAGTTGGCTGACTCGTGGCCCATCTGATGACATCTGAAGCAACGACTCTCCGTGTGTGGGCAGTCCCTGACAAAGTGGGGCCCAGCACACCTGAAACATCTCAGAGTGGCACCTCCACTCTGTCTACCTCCACTAGCAGCACTGGAAGATTGCCGAGCAACAGAACCCCCTTGATGAGACTGGGGCCTGTCATACGGCTTCCTTTGACTCTCACCCTTCTTGGACCCAGATGGGCCACCTGCAGTCCTCATAGTACGGTTACCACCTTCCAATTGTTCTACTATTTTCGCCTTCTCTACCAAGGCGGGGAACTCTGTGATGGCCATAGGCACCACCATCCTCTTCAGCTCATATCTCAATCCATCTGCAAATTTCCTGCATTTCCAAGCCTCAGGCATACCTTGCGAATAAAAACAGGCCAGGTGCTCGAATTTTATCGCATACTCAGAAACCGTCATCCCTCCCTGATGTAACCTCATAAACTCAGCCTCCTTAGCGTGCCTCACGCTCTCTGGGAAATACTTCTCCATGAACACCGTTCTGAAGCATTCCCAGTCAACTGTAACTCCTCTGGCAGTAAGCATCTGATAGGTGCCCCTCCACCAATGTTCGGCCTCCCCAACTAGCATGTACACAGCATATGCTAACCTCCTCTCTGGAGGACATCCCAGTACAGTAAAGATCTTCTCTAGCTCACGAATCCCGCGGTCAGCTACCTCTGGATCTGCATCCCCTGCAAACTGTGGAGGATTCCACTTCCAGACCTCCGCAAGATCCCGACTTTCCTGTGCCCCTGCAGGTCTTGCTGCACCAGCTGCAGCTCTCTCAGCCTCCATCCTAGCAAAATAAGCATTTTCCTGTTGCATAGCCATGGTCATCATCTCTATGGCTCGGGCTATCTGCTCATTGGTCCTAGTCATCGTCTACAAAAGTAACAACATCTTTAGTGGACAATAACTAAACCACACCATAATCAACAGCACAACAAGTCATCACAACAATTTCAGCACGGCAAATTTCAGCACAACAAACATCACAGCAAAACAACACAGCACAAAGTTAATACAACAAAAAGCCTAAAGGGACCACCCCCAAAGAGTGTCCACTAGACTCGAACTGCTCTAATACCACTAAAGTGTAACGACCCGGCTGGTCACTACACACGACATAGCACACTAGAAACACCAGACAGATAGAACAAGTATATAAATATAGGATCTAGAATATATAAATATACAAAGTTCCAGTCTGACTAGAGTTAAAGTGTACCAAAGAAAATTACAACCAAATGCTACTATCCCAAGTAGCCACAAGCAAAACAGCTCCAAGGTCCGCTGGAGACTCACCACAAGACGCCCACCTATTCCTGCCCTGCTCCCATACATAGTATGATCATCGCAGTCCAATAACATGGAAAACAACAAAAGGGTAAGCTAGTGAAATTAAAATTCAACATACAATTATATAAATATCAATATAAATAAAAACAGATACAGTTATTACACACTTGTACAACTTACACCACTCAACGATATCAGCACCGCAATGCGGCAATATCAGCACTGCTAAGCAGCAACAACAGCACCACTCAAGTGGCTATAATGGCACCGCAAAGCGGCAACAACAGCACCGCCTTAGCGGTTAAAATCAGCACCACCTATGTGGCTAACAACAGCACTGACTTAGCGGCTAAAATATCACACCACTCAGCACTGCCCAGCACAGCACAGCATAACACATCACAACAATTCAATACAATTATTATTTTCTACCATTCATCCCAACAGTCTATAATTCCGCTATACTATAAAATTTCACTTATTTATCCATTGATTTCAGCTCAACAATACATCTCTAATACAGCTAACATATTTATCTCAGCTTTGTCCCCTAGTCATCACTGCATATTCATCAAATACAACTTGGTTCAGCATATAACATCATTGATTCACAATCTCGGCACAATTCAACAGCCAATATCATATAGGTCATAATCTCCTTGCACGCCCAGTGCACTTGAGGTTGCGCCTAGCGCGGCTTAACCCGAGGGCACCAGGACTAGCGCGCCCAGCGCAGGAGTACTCGCACCCAGCGAGACTCAACCCGAGAGCACCAAGGCTCTCCCGCGCCTGGCGCAATTCCAAATTGCGCCCAGCGCCTGCCTGGCAGAGACTCAAGGAGTCTCGTGCGCCCAGCGGGGCCTAACCCGTGGGGGCGGTTTAAATTTGCGAGGGCGGGGGCGGGGAATGTAAAACTCGCCCCTGCCCCGCCCCGTTGCCATGCCTAGTCTCAAGGATGGTCCTCCATCAGTTGTCTTTATAAAAGTTGTAGTCTTATATGTTAGCTTTCCAGTGACTTTGGAATCACCTAAAGAGAAAGTCTAGAACTCTAGTTAGACTTTTTTAATAAGTAAAGGTCAAACTATTCGCAATTAGGCGACTATTGCGATTTTTGTAATTTTTAGTATAGTATATGGTGGAATTAGAACTTGAAGTCTTCATAAGAGTTGTAGATAACTTTTTTAGCTTTAATATGAGATAATATATGTGTTTGATTGGAGTAGTGGAACTCCAATTCTATTGTGCTATGTGAAAGTTATTGTTGTATTCTAATCGATAATTACATGTTGAAAACGATGTGTTACTTCCCTTATAGCATATGGTAATATACGATGTCCTAAGTTATTATATGATGAATTGTTGATATGGATGATGATGTGTGAGGATGTTCAAGGTTGTTTACATTGATTGAAGTTGTTATGTTAAGATTGCTAAATATGTTGTAAGTTGTACTAGTTGTTGGAAGTTGTGCTTCAAGTATTTATTTGTTAAGTTTTTTGGCTATTTTCAATTGATTGTCAAGATGATGCTTCCATTGATGTATGCTTAAAGTTGTAAAACAACCTTGATGCTAAGTTATTATATTGCCTTGATGTTTTAAGTTGTCTTGTAGTTGTAAGATGGATGCTAACAATTGTTAAAGTTAAAAGCTATAAAGTTATTGTGAGCAAAATGTTGTGTTTATTATTATCGTTAAGTTGAGAGTTGATATATATGTTGAAAGATGATTAAGTTGTAAAGAAGTAAGTTGATATGATGTTATGTGTCGTTAAGACGTAAGATGAATGATGTTTAAGTTGTAATGATGTACGATGATAAGTTGTTAAGTTGTTAGACATGTGGTTGTGATACATGTCTATATTTAGATACATAGAAACTAGAGGAGAGTTAAAACTTTTTTTGAACTTTAATATCCTATTGTACAGATATACGCTATGTTGAATCCTTTAGTAAGTAAGTTAACTTTTGAATGAATATGTTGCTTTCAATTGTATCCTCTATATTTTATGTGGTATTCATATGTGAGTAACGTCGAGGCATATGTGTATAAAGTGACCATAGTATAAGGGCAAAGTTAAGCTATACCGATTATAAGTGACCAATCAATTAAAGAATGAAATCGGGGACTTAGTTCCTAACTGAGTATTGGAGGGTTGTGGTATCTGGAAGGTAGTTAGTAGGCTAATCCCATAAGGAACTTAGTGTTGTAAGCTAATGTCGTGGTAGACGCATACCCAAATTGTTCTACTTTGACATAATATCATACTTTCTTATTTAAATGGTGAAACCTGAGAAATCAATCTAGCTTATACTAGACATTGTTTTTACCCTTGTGTTAACAATTGTTTTTAGTCTTAGTGTTAATTGATATTTTTTGTAACATCCCAAATTTTATACAATGGTTAATTATTATTTTTATATTTATGAAAATTATTTTCCTATAGTTATTAATTAATAAAAAGGGGTCTTTTTATGTAGAATATTTTAGAGATTTTAATAATTGATTATTATGTATTTTAAATATTTATGGGGATTATTAAAGGATTTTATAATTAAAAATAATAAAATAGTATTATGGTATTTTGAAGGCTCAGAACGGGTCGGTCCCAAAAGTGAAACGGACCGTTCTAAATTTCTAAAAAGTCTTGTGTTTGTTGGCCCAGAACGGGCCGTTCCAAATTAATAAAGAGGCCTATTTTTGAGGGCCCAGAACGGCCGTTCCAAATTTTCAAAGAGAGCTATATTTGTTAGCCTAGAACGGGTCGTTCTCAAAGTGGTACGGGCCGTTCCAAGCTTAAAAAAAATACCTACAGATTTTAGTTAGAAAAGGGTCGTTCCAGTTATGGTCTTTGTGAGAAAATTTTTGCCTCAGAACGGGCCGTTCCAGTTTTAAATTTTACATAGGATGAATGGGTCCAGAACGGGCCGTTCTGGTTTTAGAACAGGCCGTTTTGGCCACTTCGAATTTCTATAAATATGAGGGAGGGGGGCTGTGAAAAATTATAACAACCAGAGGTGAAAACTTAGAGAGAGAAAGAGAAACAGAAAGAAAGAGAGAGAAAGAAAGAGAAAGAGAAAGAAAGAGAGAAAGAGAGGAAAAATTAATAGGAAAAGGATCTTGAAGTTTTTACGCAGATAAACCGATGTTCTAAGGTAAGGGGGAGGAGAACTTTATCTTTTTACAATTTTATATACTACTATGTTTATTTATTTGTTATTTTTTATATATAATGAGTGAAGGAGGAAGTGAGTGAGAGAACGGGGCCTCACATTAACCAGTTTTGCTGCCCTAGACTCGTAGACTCGTACGAGTTAACTTGCGAGTTTGACAACCATGCTTACAACGATATGTAACGATAATTTTCTCACTAACAAAAGGTATTTTCCCTAAGATTTGCCAATAACAAAGGTCGTTGTAAGTTACCTTCTTTCTTGTAGTATATTAATCAACCATTAAATTAAATCTCATATAATTTAATGACTTACTACTCAATGCGTGTGATCTTGTAGGTTCTCACTTAATTGACAATAATATTTAAATATTATATTGAATATAATATTTAAATATCATATTGAATATAATATTAAATATTATAGGTAAATATTTTTATCTAACAATACATCATTGCTACCAATTAATGAAAAAATTGATGACCACACATTTTTCATCTCTCACTCTATCGAGAGGCCCAATGCATAACTCTCATTATGTAGGAAGGACAAATCTTTTCTACATTACTCACATCCTTTTACATGTTTCATTGTAGGTCATTTAACTACCTTTAGAATTACTTTATTAAGGATAACATATGATAGCATTAAAGCCTACAACTCCTACATGCAAGAACCGTAGTGATTTCGAGTTGAAGGACTACTCTACTATGGTCACTATGAGAAAGGCTTATGACACTTACATAATTATTATGAAAGCTTCACATAGTGGGTCCATCCCATATAAATATTATTCCTAATATTTATACATGTGTGCTTGACTCGGTATCTTATATCCATGACTCCTGATATGTGGTCATCAATCAACTCACACAATAGTCTCAATGTATTATTATCATCCCAGCTAACAATAACACTTGATTGTGGATAATTTAATAATGATATTATTGGTTCAAAGTATCTCTAAATCAAGTCATACTTAATATTTATTTTGAACAAATAATTTATTTTAAGGACATTACTATGTTAGAATGACACAATAACTGAAATGGCTAAAATATATTTTTGTATAAAAATCATGATACAGATAAAAAATTGGGCACTAGGGCTTACTCTAATAGATGGATTACTTCTATTTTCCATTATAATACAAAAACTAAAGCTCAAAGATAAGTCCTCATTTTTCAGCTCTCAAGTGATAATTTTCTCTTATAAATATAGGAGATGAGGGTAAAGAACTACCGCTAGACCATTTTTTTGTTTGAAGGGTTTTTTGGTATGGTTTCTTTTGTTGGTTTTCTCTTTTTTATTTCTCTCTCATAGGTTTTTAAAGATCAATGAAGCTTTGATACTATGTTGAAAATAAAACATAAAAGAGAGGTGTATGACTAAAAGAAATAAGATGAGATGAAAACATCTACAATTTCATACATACACAAGAGGCAAAAACTGATGATATATTTGAGTTATGAACTTAGGTTTTCATACATTGAAAATGTTATAACAAGTATTTAAATACTAAAACTAACTACCCGTAACTAGGTTAATGCTAAAAGTAAATTACAACCAAGTTAACAAGCAAAATATCATTTGTTTGTACACATAAGCAATCTTTAATCAAACTTATAAACAAAATAAAAATTGCATAAATTTAAAAAATTTTAAATATTTAATTATGAGAGTAGAAAATTTTCAACTGCCACCAGGTTGGCCTGTATGCCCTGAATTTGGTATGGAAGTATAAAGAAATATGACAGCCAAAGGAAGGGTTCATCCGGAGAGAGTTCAAACACTATGAGTTATATGCCCTGTTTTAGGAGACTTATATGCAGATATGTGGATTTGGCTTTCTTCCACATAACAAGTTTGACATCATTCTTTCATCCATGAGAAAATGCCATAGTACTTAATCCTTTCTCTCACAAATGGAATTATATCAATTAACACTGATAAGCAAAGAATTCAATAACATGTTTTTCTTTAATCAATAGCTCATTAACAAGTTTGGCCTCATTCTTTTCTTTCCCCATAATATAATGTCATTATAGTCTATTCTTTGTAATGAAATCATGCCCAGGGGTTCAATCTAAAAAGAGGCAAAAGAAGTGGATTAGGCTTGAAGATAGAAGGCTCAAACTATTTATTGAGCCTTGGATTATCTTTTAGTATTTTTCCTCTTACTAATAAATATTTCTCATTAATCTTGTATTTTATTTTGATCTTATATATTAGGTCAAGTAGTGTAGGATGTTATTTCCTCATATTTCTTCTTTGGATGTAATCAATAGAATAAGGAGTGCAACAAATAAGTAGCACATGTAATTAAATGGATCGGTTCTTGGGCCTAGGAGGTGATGCATACCAACATGGGTTGGACAACCACCATGGCATTCCATATACCTCACCTTAAGTAGCCAACTCCATTTAGTCACATGCACCACTCACTAGTCACACCATTCACACTTTTCACTTGACAAGTTCTTATAGGCTAGTTTAGAGCTAGAGCATATGGGAGCACATGGATTCTAGAGTCAAGGGTTTTGGCTCCAAATATTTGAATTACAAATTCAAATATTGGGTCATTAATTCAAGGTTAAACAATCATGATTCATTTTTTTTTAATCATGATTAGCTTAGCTTACTTAAGCGACCTAACTCTATATATTTCCATTCCTAACTTGTAATTCATCACTTTTGAGATTTATATGAGAAGTAATTTCTGAGATCCCTCTCATTCTCTCTAGAATCACTTTGGAGAATTCTCTCCTTAAGTTCTTTCATTAGAGAAACTCTCCTTATGGCAAGACCTCCTTCTTGCTCATCTCTGCCTTGAGAGTGGCACGCCTCATCTCTATTGTTCTCCATATTTTGAGATTTTGATTGTGTTTTGGGTCCATGGAATCAACTTGAAGTGCTTGGAAGCATCCCAGGAGAATTCGGTCACCAATTCACCATAGGAATTCCAACATTTTGTTTCACAAATTGAATCGGATTCTTAACGGTAAATTAGATGAATACCATTTTTTCAGTTAGTTAATGTAATTAATATCAATTTTTTATACCGAATACTTGCAACATACGCATTTCCTTTGCTTTGTACACAATTTTCAGCACCGATTCCTTAGACTCAATCTTTACAGGTTTCGGATCCTAAATCAACACAGCTAATGTTCTTAATGGGTTATGGTTGGGTAGAGTTCATCCCTTTTACTCCTAACAACACATTCCTTTCCTCGTCTTAAGCATAATCACTACAAGTTTTTGCTCTGTTATGAAGAGGTTACTTTAGAGCTATAGTCAATGACTAACGTTTCTTACATTAAACTGATATAATAAGAGCTTTATACAGTGTGCAAAATTTCATTGGAATAAGAGGCAGTTAATGATAAATGCCTGAACAGGCCATACCAAGGTAAAGACTCTTTGATTTCAATATAGAAGTATCTTGAAGGTACTTTAGTTGAAGGTATCTTCTTTGATTTCATATGATATGATGGAACTGTTTGCCATGTAGTTCATAACCTAAGTTACACTAAAATGACATGGACAATACTTTCATTAAAAAGTTGGGAGCCTTAGATTAATTAATTTTTTATTTTAGATGAACTAATTTATTATTTTGATTGACATGAATGAATTTATTAGGCTATAATCAGTTTATGATAATTGCCATATATGCAATAGGGAGAAGAGATTCTTATGTGTAGATTTTTTTTATAACCCAACCTAAACATTGAACACTCTGTGTGTAATGTCAAAACCCAGGCTGACAAAAAAATTGAGCTTTTCAGATTGGAGGTGTCATTGGTTTCTGTGGTAAAATTCTGACTCAAAATATTGAAATCACTAGACTCATAAGGAAATCATCTACTAGTAATATGGACTATAGAGTTACAATTATCAGTTGCATATCCATCACACTAGAAGAGATGATAAATTTCTCAGCAAACTTAATGGCAAAGGGACTTGGTTATGGTCTGAATTGAGAATTCGGGATGAACCTTCTGTTGTGAGTAGGAATGTAGTTCTACATATATATGCACTTCGCTTTTGTCCCTATCAACACAAATGTGTGTCCGCGCATGCACGTAAAAAATGCTTTGATACTATACTAAACTCTGCCAAAAAAATGAATCATAATTCTTCATGGAATGTGAAAAAGGATAAAATAAAGCGTATACTTTACGTTATGCATCTAAGAACATTAACATCATTGAAATCTCTGACCTTTGGACGATTCCTCTACATTTGTTAACTCATTATAACTTGTTCATTCATTTTAATGGCCGGAATGTGAGCAATCTTAGACCAATACTTCCCTTTTCGATTTTGATACCTTGCTTCTAGTAAGGGACACTTCTCCATATTCAGTACTGCAAGAGAAGATGGCAATTGATCTTCTGGCAAGGAAACAAGGTTTGGACAATGGTCAATGTGGAGCTGGTGGAGAGAAGTGAGATGTTGAAGTCCATTTCCTTCCAAGAACTTCAAGCCACCAAAATGGTATATGCCTAGAAACACAAGGGAAGTAGGTAGTAACCGCTCTCTCAGCAGCATGTTCACAAGATCTTGATCTCCAAAACCAAGAAAATAAAGATGTGAAAGAGAAGTGAGACGTTGGAACTGGAAACCTATCTCATGTTTAGACATAGATGACAGCATTCCAAGATCAATAGAGAGTGATCGTAAACTTGAAGGAAAACAGCTTGGGGACAATGATGCTAGCTCTGAAAGCCCAGAAAGGCCCAAGTGTTGAAGGGAAGGGAGAGCTATCTGTTCTGGCAGTGCCTTAAGTTTCACACAGTCGTTGACATTGAAGTCAACTAATTTAGGAGCAGACCCCCCATCATGAGTAGTGATTGCTTCCAACTTGGGACAAAAACATATATAAAGCTCTTGAAGGGAAGGGAAACAACCTAATGGAAAAGAGGTTAGGGAATGACAGCTATTCCAAATTCCTAGCCTTTCAAGTGAAGTGTATTTGTGCAATGTTTCACAAGGTAGAAACTCTAACTTCTCACAGTCCCAAATTTCAAGGGATTGCAATGAGGTGGGCAAACCATCAGCTGGGAAGGAAATCAAAGATGGGATGATTTTAAGAGTCAAGCCTTGAAGACAATTGGCACCAAGAATCATTCTAGGCAAAGACTGCAAGCTGTCACACTTTTCAATTGATAGTTCAGAATAAGAAAAGTTGTCAAGCAAAGATAACAATCCCTCTCCCCCTTCTCTAATATGTGTTACTTCAACCGATGAGTTCCAATGCAGATTAGATGATTTTGCCTCTAGCTGGTTGCACTCCAAGATATGAACAGCTTTTAATGAGGGTAAATGGCTTGGCAAGTTTCCTCTTAGTATACGACACTTGCATAAACTCAAACTCTTAAGGCTAGGGAAAGGAAAGTTGACACCTTCTCCTTCAAATTGTAGCCATTCTTGCCAGTTTGACATATCTTCAAATTCAAGACTCTCCAGTGATGGAAATGGTTGAAACAAAGGGGAGCCTAGATTGCTGCAATAAAACTCGTGACCAACTGTCTTCACCATTTTCATCCTTTTAATGATAAGTTCCTTGAGGGCTGGTAGTTGTCCAAATGCTGGGAGTGACAAGCAATAATTGCAATCACTGATACCAAGGACTGTGATGTTTGAAAATGAAGGTTCTCCTATCCAATTTGGAAAGCTAGCACCACCAAAATATCTGATTTTGAGTTTCTTTAAATTTGCTGACGGTTGCAGGTTTTCAAGTACAGCTCTTCCAATTTCTGAATCTTGTGGCTCACTGCTCCACTCAAGCATAACCTCCTCAATATGCTCTTTGATCTTTAAGTTGGCCAGAAATGCATCCATTGGATCAACGACATTTTGTAGCTTTAAAATACAAAGCCTACCCTGCAAATAAGGTAATTTCCTTAACTCTAGAATCCTTAATCCATCTTTTTGTTTGCCAACAACAAAAGTACTCAAACTACGAAGATTTTGTAGCCTGGAGATTTGGGCTGGCATCTCCTCCAAATTAGTCTCACTAACATCAAGATGGCGTAAATTAACCAGATTTCCTATTTGTCGCGGCAACTGATCAAGAAATTCACAATGTGATAATAACAAGGTCTGCAAATTGTAGAGAGTAAAGGTTTCTGCAGGTAACCTTCTAATGGAAGTGAACGAAAGGTTGAGATACCGCAAGTGCACCAAATTGCCAATTGAATCTGGCAACTTAGTGATATTTTTGTATCTTGACAACGACAATATTCGCAAGCGTGTTAGTTTTGGCAACAAATCATGTAACACATTTATGGTTAAGTAACAATCCAATTGATGCAGAGATCGTGGCAGAAAGGTCCTCAAAGATCTGATGTCATGAAAGCTCTCAAATTTTTTGGAGACATCATACTTGTCTCTTGGAAATGATAAATAACGGACCATTTTTTGGATTTCATTGTCTTCAAAGCAGCAAGAACTTTTTCCAGACACAAGTCTAGCTAAATCATACACCAACTCATGCATACGAAAATTTTCCTTAATGACATCCTTTTGAATGAAGGATCTGGACAATAATTCATTAAAGCAATCATTGCCTACTAATTCCATTGCTTTCTCTCCATAGGATTGTTGTAGAAAGCCTTCTGCCATCCATAGCAAAATCAACTCCTTATCCAGCAAATGTTGTTTAGGAAAAATTGAGCAATAAGCAAAACATCTTTTCAAATGTGCTGGAAGATAAAGATAACTAATGAGCAAAGCTGGTAAAACATCGTCATGTGTCCATAAATTACTCTCCAAAATTCTATTCCATTCCTTTGCATCTACATTTGATCGCAAAAGACCTCCCAATGTTTTGGCAGCTAATGGTAGACCACTACATTTTTTTGCAATTTTCCTTCCAATTTCCTCCAGGATTGGATATTTTCCATAACCTTCATTTCCAAATGCATGTTTGGCAAGTATGCACCAACAATCTTCATCTGTTAGAAGTTTCAACTCATAGATGGGAAAATTATTAGTATGTGTGAACTCTGCAACTCTGGGTTGTCGGGTTGTCACAATAATCTTACTTCCCTTTCTACCACTGCTAAAAGGACTTATCAGGTGATGCCAATCACTGTACTTTTCATTCCAAAAGTCATCAAGAACAAGCAAAAGTTTTTTATCTTTTATGCTGTTCTTTAATTCAACACGGAGAACATCGAGATTAGTACTATTACAGACTTTGGACGTGAAAGACTCAACAAGGTTCTTTGTTATCCTGAAAACATCGAAGTCATTAGATACACACGCCCAAGCTTTCAGATCAAAATGTTTCTGCACTTTGCTGTTATTGTACAGGAATTGAGCAAGGGTTGTTTTGCCAAGACCTCCCATACCCAATATTGTGATCACCCCTGGATTATTATTAGACACTGAATCATCATCATCATCAAATAGAAGCATGTTCAATAGCCTCTCTTTGTCTTCATCTCTAGCAACCACCTCAGATTCAACCAATGAATCTGTAATTGTTCCAAAAGAGACTCTCCTAGAAACACTTTGCAAGCCAAGAATATCTTTCTGTCTCACAAAGTACTCTAGCCTTACAGATATTGCTTCAAGCTTGGAATTCATTCTCCTATAGAATTGATTAAAAGGAGAAGAAAGCGAGAATCTCACCTGGGTGGTGAACTTCTTTGATCCTCCCATCACCTTGCATCTCAGAGAGTCAGTGTTGATTTCATCCAGTAAATCCTCAGCATCGAAGACAGCATTCTTCAATTCATCAAGCCAAGCCTTCACAGCAACATCATTGATCTGCTTCTCTTCTGCATCATTGAGCACAGCATTAAGTGCCAGCAGCTTTGTCTTCAACTCATCCAAGAGAGAAACTTTCAGTTTCCTGTTGGCAAACAAATCTCTAAACTCACCAGAGGCTATTTTGTCTATTAAGATCTCAACAGAAGCAGAGATAAGTGCCTCTCCGACCATACCCAAGGCCATTCCTTCTCTTGCTTTGCAAATTGTATCACAAATTAGAAGTTCTAGCTAAATGCTGAACGCGACACTCAGCTACGGTTGTGAGAAATTGAGATATGATAAAGCTCAAGTCAACACATTGTTTTAGTCTTATTTTATTGTTGTAGTAAACGCGTGAACCACTTTGTGTTGTTAAAAAATTTTAGACTGACCAAAAATATGGCCATGGTCGTATTCGTAGCCAAGTCCTTGTGCATTGCTGTACATAAACACATTTTGACTGACCAAAAATATGGTCACGGTTGTATTAGTAGACAACCACCCACTTCCATTCCAATTTTTAATGTTTATATTTTCTTCCTAATTTCATGCAGCTACAACAAAAGGTAATTTTGATTGTTGACAAAAGTGGTAGTACAACGAGGCACCTCCAATACTACTGTCAGTAAAGTCTTACTGCATAGGCCCAAGCATGAAAGAATGAGAGTTAAATCCATAATAATTACTATTTTGGTTTCTGATTTTATTTAATTAGTTGAATTTGGTCATTTTATTATTAAGAAGTGTAATTTAGTTCTTTAATATTTAAAAACTATATAATGTGATCTCTTGTGGATTTCATATGGACTTTTGTTCATTTTACTACTTGTGATCATTGACGCACATTGAAGCTTGTGGGGCAGTTGCCCCCACTAACTTTTCAGTTTTGATTTTTAATAATATATATATAATATTATATTATTTTTATTTAAAATTTAAAAACTAAAAAAATAAATAAAAACTAAAAAATTATAAAATTAAAACTAAATTTAAGTTTTGTTGCAGGACGGATGCACTAACTTGTGGGCCCCTATTAACTTTTCAGTTTTTTTAATAATATATATAATATTATATTATCTTCATTTAAAATTTAAAAACTAAAAAATAAAAATAAAAAACTAAAAATTATAAAATTAAAACTAAATTTAAGTTTTGTTGCAGTTATCTTTATGTGAGAAAGGAAATTTTTTTAAAAATATTTTAATATGTTATAATAATTAACAACAAATTACATGTTTTTAAAAAAAATTGTTATGCATTTAAATTGTAAATCAAGATAAAAAATATTATAAATTAAATAATGTATGTTTTTTAAGTTTAAAAAAAAACCATAAATTGTTATTAACCTCTTTTTAGATATTTTATATTTTTTTTGTTTTATTTTTATTTTTTCTAATTCTTTTTATATTTTGAGGTTCTCCTCTACCTCTAACATATTTTAAAGTGTAGAAGAGTGAAATTGGAAGAAAAAAAAAATAAACTTCTTCTTCCATCTATACTCCTTCTTGTTTGAATAGCTAAACTATACATTTAAAGTAGTCTTTGAGGTTAGTGTATTTAAAGTTATTATTTTTATATTGCTTTATTTGAATTAATTTTTTTATTTTCAATGAGAAATTCAGTATTTTGATTTTTATTTACTCATTCTATTTTTATGTTTAGAAGAAACATTGTATGTTATGAACATTACATTAATTAAAATTATATTGCTTTTAGTTGTAGCAATGGAAAGGTATTTTAAAAGAAAATCATCTTCAGAACAACCATCTTCTCCTCAAACACATGTTGAAAAAGAAGTCAAATTGGGTCCACCAACCAAAAAAAGATTTTTAGAATGTGATTTGGAAAGGCTTCCTGATGATCCTTGTTTAAAAATGAGAGAACCATAGAGAGAGGTTTTTGATAGTATTAAAAATGAGCAAATCATTCAATGTTTTCAAATTATGAAAACTCGTAGAGAACAATTATGATATATATTTATCTTTATAAAAATTTTATTTTATATTTTAAAAATTTATGTATTTAAATATTGCCCCCACTACTTAAAATTTCTGGATCCGTCACTGCTTGTGACAATCGGTACATTGGCCAAAAGTCTAACACTAGTGCCACATGTATATAGACTAGTGAAATTCGTACCTATTACATTTGTATGAACCATGAACTTGTAAACATGCTGAGTTATTCTTTAAGTTATAATTGCTATGACCGTTACATTCATCGGTTATATATGTATGTTTATGTTGTTGATGTGTGTGACTACCTTGCAATATCTCACATTGATAGCCAAAGTGAGACATTTTTCATTTTATGTTTTGTTTGTAGTGTTTCTATGTGTATATATTAAAAATGAGGATTATCTAAATGATGATACCAATGATGATACCAGTGACGAGACTTAAGTCATGTGATATGTTAATGGGTTGAATTCTAACACTCCAAGTAGGGATGGTAATGAGACGGGTCGGGGACGGGTTTCATGATACCCGTCCCTGTCCCTGCGACTCAAACTTATCCTCGTACTTGTACCCATACCCGTCGGGTGTGTAATTTTCGTCCTCATCCCCGTCTCTGTCGGATATCGGGTATATCCGTAGTCGTACCTATAAAAAATTATTATTATTTTTTTTACAAAACAATACACAATATTTTTAAATTATTTTTTCATTATATTATAATTATAATTAAATTATTTTTCTATCTCATATTTTAATCAAGAGATTTCTTAATAATTAAACAACTATAAATATTTCACATTATAATAAATAATTACACATAATAAAATATTAAATTTTTTTAACATAATTCAATCGGGTACGAGTATGGGTACGGGTATATACATACTCATACCCCTGCCCCTACCCGTACCCGGTTTAACATATCAAGTTTTACCCATACCCGTACCCGGTCAAACTGGGTATTCCCCGTCAAAGTCGGGACGTGTTTGGGTATTACCCACAGGTACGGGTTAATTTGTCATCCCTAACTCTGAGTTTTTCTAAATAAATTAATGTTTTAATTAATTAATTGGGATGTTTTATATATATGTGTTTTTAATTAAATAAAAAAGGTTGCAAAAATTATTTTATAAATGTTTGGAAGAAATATGCTTATTTTATGTATTTAATTATAAGTTTTAAATTATTAAAGGAAAGAAAAATGCAATTGTAGTTAATTGTTTTACTAATAGGTTAAGCTCGGAGTTTAAGAGGGATTAATGCCAATTTTTGTTTTCACAATTCCCTTAAGTTTATGTCTCTCTCTATTCATTTGGAGACCTTGGAGGAACAAAAACTATAGAAGATCATATAAGAGATTTGCATTCAATGTCTAACATCCATCAAGATAAGGAAGAGTAAATAGTCTCACTCTAAAGCGTGGGATATCTACGAGGTAAAGAGATTGGCCCCAATCTCTTTTTTGTTCTTATATGTTCTAAGGGAGAAATTCTAATTTTTGGTTGTAAACTGTGATTTTTTGTTTTACATTATTATGAGCAATATTTGTCGTAATTGGAATATATGTGTGTTTAATTTTGTGTTAATTGTGTAAATCATGAATCTACCACTAATGCAAAGAGTTTTTTATGATGAAGATTTTATGTCGAGTATAATTCTCATGACATAGAAAGTGACATAATAAGAAAGTTGTAAATAAGACAAAAAAAAATTATGACGGATGTTGAGTCACCTGTCATAAAAAGTTCTTTTTTGTGTCTGGTGAGTCAACACTTTTCATAAAAAGGTAGGGGTTAATTACAAATTTAACATTTTTCAACACATTCTATGACAAATGTAATGACACTAGACAAAAAAGAACGACAGGTGAAACAACACTCAACATAAAAGGTGCTTTAAATTTTCAAATTGAAAATGCAATTCGCATTCTAGACTTTTTTTTCTGTCTTCTTTTCTTTATCATCCTACTTCTTGCACATGCAAGTAATTTTTTTTCCCTCTTGCTTTTTTGTTTGTGTTTTTTGTTATTATTATTTCTTGATAGTGTGGTGGTTTAGAAGCAAACATTGTGGTGATGAAATTAATGCAAAACGTGGTGAATGCAAAAGCAAATATGCAAAAATGAGAGGGAAAAAGGTTGGTAAGGAATGCGAAGGGATGCAACAAATGATAAAGAGCATGGTCAAACGTGAAAAATGTGACCAAAGATAAACAATACGAAAACAAAATGTAAGGAGATATGATGAGAGAGAAAAAGTGTGATGACAAAACACGAAGGGATATAAAGAGTGTGACGACAAAACGTAAAGAGATGTCACAAGAGAGGATAAGCACAATGATGACATGCAAAAAGATATGATGACGAGAAGGAAAGAGATCGGAA